AAAAGGAAAGGAAAAAAGGGAGAAGAGGGAGAAAGAGAGAAAGAGAAAGGAAAAAAAGGAGGGAGAAAAAAAGAAAAGAGAAGGAAGAAAGAAGGAGAAGAAAAAAAAGAAAGAAGAAAAAAGAAAATAAAAAAATAATGAGAAGGTGAAGGGGGGCTGGGAGTGCCTGCGCGGCCTCTTGGTCGGTCGTGCAGAGCTCCTTGGCGAGTGGCACCTACAGAGCCACGGTCTCGGCACAATCTCGACCGAATCTTGCCCCGCCAGAGCAGCGGCTCCACATCCCCCGCGGCGCGCGTTTCCGATCTCGAGTGCGTACTTGAACCACGAGGCGCGGTTGACCTGAGGGTTCGAGGCATGCGCAGCTCGAGGTGTGTCCCTCTCCCCCGCATCGCAACGTCATGGAGGGCAGACGGGAGGCCTTCCCCGCGGCCACACCTCAAGTGCACACGCATCAAAGTGCAAGGCAAGTGCCCTGCCTGGTCCCGGCTCCTCCTCCGGCGAGCAGGGCTACATCTCGGCTGCATCTCTCGGCTCGCCTCCTCGTCCGGCGAATAGGACCCTTCGCCGTACAGCGTGCTCGGGCGATCGCTCACGTACAGACTCCGCTCCGAGGAAGGCGCCGCAGCATCACCGCTCCTGCCGCCGCCGCCACCGCCGTCGTCGTCGCCCGCTCCCCCTCCCGCGCCGTCCGTGGTGCTCTCCCTGCCTGCAGGGAAAGACCCGCCGCCCGCGGCCCCCCCCTCACCGCCGCCGCCCTCCTCCGCGGCCGTCTGCGAGCGGGGAGCGGCCAGCCCGCGCTGCTGGCTGCGGCAGCGGGAGAGCAGCACGCCGGCGCCGAGCGCCACGAGCGCATCGTCCACCTCCGACGCACCGGCCTGCCGCGCGATCGGCGGCCTCCAGCCGTCGTGTGTCGCGCTGCCGGCCGCGAGGAGAGCCTCGGCAGCGGCGGGGGCGGACGAGGCGTCGGAGGAGGCGGGCAGCCCTCTCGCGGCGGCAGAGGCGGAGCCACCATCGCCGTCTTCGCCAATGCTGACCGCCAAGAGCGCGGCGTCGATCTGCCTCTCC